AGGGATACCTAAGGTCAGGACTCTTGAGCCTGTGGCTTCCTGGCTTATGGCCACTGAGAGATGATTGGCCCAAGAAAAGCCACTCAACTCCGAAATGCACCTGATTAGCAATGGTAGCCTTTCTAATGGAACATCATTCTGTATGGGAGTGATGAGGAATGATTTAGGGCTGTGCTATGGACTAAACTGTGTTCTCCTAAAATTCCTGTGTTAAAGCCCTAACCCCCAATGTGACTGTATTTGGAAACAGGGCTTTTAGGAGGTAATTAAGGTTAAATGAGGTCATTAGGGTAAGTCCTAATCCAGTAGGACTGGTGGCCTTATAAGAAGAGAGATCTCTCTGCCTGCACTCATTTAGGAAATGTCATGTGAGGACACAACAAGAAGGCACCATCTGCAAGGCAGGAAGAGGACCCTCATAAGAACCCAATCATGCTGGCACCCTAATTGCAGACTGCCAGCCTCTAGAACTTGGGAAACAAATTTCTATTGTTTTAGCCACCCAGTCTATGATTTTTTGTTATGGCAGACCAAGCCAACTAAGACAGTCTGGTATCGAATCTGTAAGCTTCTTTCCCTCTACCTGAAATTCCAGGTGCCCAGATCTGATCTAGCCTTCAAGGTCCAACCTACCCTCTCAATACAGCCTTCTCCATTCACCTAAGTAAGCAGCAATCGTTTCCCCAGGTCTGCCACGCTGTGTCCTTCCCAGGCTCCTTTGTGTCATTGTCATTTGTGTGCATACCACGTCTCCCTAAGAGCTAAAGCATGATCCCTCCCCAACATGTTGCATCTTCACTGTGTGTCGAGGGAGGAGACTTTATTCTATGTCTGAATATGGCACTGGGCACAGAAGGCACTCAGTAAATGTCTGCTGAAGTTAGAGCTCTCTTCTGACTCTCTCTCTCAGTGCACCCAAGTTAAACTTCACTTGGTGGGAAACACATAGGTTGGAGCCAGAGACCTAGTGGGTGGCCAGGGGTCAGCAGTAGATGAAAGAATCAGCATGTCCACTTATGTACTCCAGATTCCTTTTTTTAAAAAAACTAGATTCCTTTTTATTCCCAGTATCCAGATCTTCCTGGTCCTCCCTTTCCTGGCTATAGCACACATTGCCAGCATACAACTTTCCTTTCTCTAAAGCCACTACTTCCACAACCTTTGACAGTTCCAAAAAGAAAAGGGAGTAGTCACAGGGATGTGTCCTGCGCTCCCTCCCTCCCCTAATCCCTCAATGACACTAAAGAAAAAAGCGGTAGGTCCCGAGGGCATCTGAATAAAAAGATGCCCTTTCTCAGAGACTGTAGAATTATACCCACTGGCCTCTGTTTAGAAGAGCAGAAGAGGAGCCTGTGCTGCCCGTGGTCCTCTCTCCAGAGAATGGTCAAGAGTGACTGCAGGAAAGCCCCGAAGCACTCTCTCTTATGTTCTAATACAGTCAAATAGCTCCCATATGATTTTTCTCAAGTTCAAAATGTAGGAATGTAATTTTCAGTGAGAAAGAATATATTTAAAGATCCAGCATTCTTGGTTGTGTCTCTTTGATAATTTGGATACTTGGAAACACTGATATGTTCACTTTGTGGAAATTAAGCTATTCACTTAAGTGGGTGTGTGTTATACTTCAATAAAAATGTTAAATTCAATGAAAAGTTTACTTTTAAAAAAATTCACCACCTTATAACCCAGAGCAATTGAGCAGTTTGTCCAGCATTGTACAACTAGTTGTGATAAAGGCAGGAACCCAGATCTCCTAGTTCTTTATTTAGCACCTATTTTCAAATTGCACCTAAGAGCAAGCTTCAGTTTCAGTCTCTTGATCTGAATATTGCTGGAAATTTCCTTGGTTTCCTTGGAGCCCTGCTGTGCATCTGAAAGTGGACATCATATTTGAAAAGCTGTTTCTGATTATTATTGTTGAGGCCATACCTGTTCTGTACTTGCTGTGTATAGCTGATGACTGTGGCCACCAAAGAAATTCACAGCCAGGTCACTCCCTCCTGTTGGGGCAATATCTTGAAGGAGTCTCTATGGGAAGCCCCTTTATTTTTGTATGTGCCCTGAAAGGTGGGGCAGGTGGCTTGACCAGCTCACAGTGGTGCCCACCTTAGGACTTATGGGTAGCCCTTTGTCTGGACAAAGATGACAGACCAACAGTTATTGACTTAGTTACAGCTCCACCAGGAAGGCACATAGAGAAAACACCATATTGTAAATCTGAGATGTCCCTTACTTATGCACATTTTGTTCATTCAGCAAGACTCTCATGTCCCATGATGACGCTACTGACTTTGGAAAGTTTGAGCAGTCCAAGGTGACATTTGACCATCTAAGGCCTAGGAGTGAATTGCTGGATGAAATAAAACTGAACCCTGTCCTCATCCCTCCCATCTATCACAAGCCCCTCAAACAACTCTCTCCTGGTCCTCAACGCCCTGAGCATCAAGGTCAGGCTGTTCACATTCCCAGCCTTGCTTCCCTGCCCCCAAAGGAAGTGCTTAGCTAATGTTGACTGTTCAGCTGTGTTCATGACACCAGGCTGCCACCTACCTGTGCCACAGACCCACCTGAATTAGCCCATATAATCTCAGTGCTACAGGTTGGCCCCTTTAGGACTTCCTAATCCCATCTCCACACAATGTCTGAAATGTGGTTCAAAGGACAGTGCTCACTAGATGTCTCACTCTGGCTCATAGTCAAGCTGTGGGGGAGGGGCAGGGGGAAGAGTAAGGGGGCTCTCACCAGCCCTTGTAAACTTCTTACCTGTAACCTGATTAAGTCCTGTCATAGATTGTCCTATCGGTAGAACTCCTTAGCAGAAAGTAACCAAACTGCCTACGTCCATTTACATCTTCTGCAGTCCAGGGACTTAAAAGTAGTTGCCTCTGGCAGGTCATCTCACTACTCTGCTGGTGACCTCTGTAAACAGGCAACTGATAACCAGCTTTGTTCCTTGAGGGGACCAATAGGTCCCGAAGGGGCTCTGCTGTACCCCAGTGAGGTTCTGGAGTCCAAGTAAGCTCTCATGTTCTGTGCTAATTTACCAGGAGCCAGGAATTATCATCTTTGAGTTAACATTGTGCCTGCGCCAACTAGACTGGCCAGTTTAATATCTTTTCAATTAGTGAATCTTCCAATAATAGCATTTTAACAATGAAATTCAAAAAAAAAAAAAAAACTTGTTCTTAATTTTTGTACAAAGAGGGAGAATAAAAGACTTCTAATAATGGTATCATTATAAATTCTAAAGTGGTGACCACTTGGCTGTGTTAAAAAGAATATGTATCTAATAATTAAAATAAAGATATAAGTAAATGCTTTATCAATAAAATAAACCATAGGGCATATTTTTCTCAGCCTGTGTCAGAAATGGCAGCACATAGGGCCGGCCCGGTGGTGCACTGCTACAGTGCGCCGCTTGGGAGCGCAGTGGCGCTCCCG